AATTTTGTATGTATATTCATTAGGTCTGAGTATAGGACGTAATTTATTTTTCATACCTCTAAGTGATAAGAGTGCATCCCAAAAATATATTTTGTATTTATTGGATAAAATTTCATGATTTTGCATTAAAAAATAAATACAACTCTAATTTTCACCAGTCTATCGAGCGATATTAAAATTAATATCGCTCGATAGACTGGTGAAAATTAGATATATGGCATGGCATATAAATATATGGCAACTAATAACCTAACATTTATATAAATTTTAAAGTAAGTTTACTTGTTTGTTTCAAAAACTAGGTCAGTATCGACAAATGGATAAATTAATCGTTAGCAACAGGAGTGAAACGCTCGTTAATCCTTTGTAGTTTGTACAATCAACTGAATGGTTCGAAAGTTATACTAAACCACAAAAGCAGACACATAATGGACCTACAGATTCCGAACGGAATTCTCGAAGTTAATGACTGGCAACATTATGGACTACATCATAACTACAAAACAAGGAAGTTCTAGGTAGTCACAGTTCACTTCACACAAATGCTACTAACGATGACAAATTCAGATCATTAATTTAACTACAGTACCTACTCTGTTAATTGATCTTGCTTAAAGCGATATTTATCTGGTCGAGTTTTTGTAATCACTCAATAAAAAAGAGTTTCAACATTTTTTTAAGTATACCTACATGATGTTGACAGATTTACTATGATACTGGTTATTCTGTTTCTAATTTTTAAACTCTTGATTCATAAAACATTCAAATCATAAAAATATTTATGTACCTAAGTAGTAGTCTATTACGGTTGAATTTAAAAATTCTATTCTATTCTTATTATTTGAAGTTAGTTTAAAGTATGTTAAGAACTATAGGGTTTATGTAAAAGAAAATAGTATAATTTACAAAATACGTTCATTGTCTTCTTTCGAATAAGTAATCGTAATAAATACTGTTTTTTCTTCCATAGGAACATAATTATTTTACTTTATCTATTATTAATGCCGTATCTACGTATCTCGACCCTAATTAGAATTATTTATTAACAACACATATTTACTGTACTGCCCAATATAGTCTGTGGTTTTTATATATTGTATTTTAATCGGTATATCAGCCATAACTTTCTATCTTATGACGTTTTTTTCATTTAATTAACGTTATATATTCCCCACGCAAGTACAAGCACTAAATATATTTATATAATGTTACATGTTGGTAAATTAAATACTGTGATGATGGTATGGGGGTGGGTTCATATACTGCGTACTAGTTGCGTAACACAAGATCAATTCATACATAATAAGCACTACACACTCATTCATGCAACTTGACTATGTTAATAGCTTCATGGGTAAATAAACAAAATGTAACCAGACCGAGACAGGTAAAAAAATATATTCTTACATTGAGACACTGCTGCTGACCTCCTCGCGAATTAATGAATTAAATTAGACTGTGCCAAGGAAATCTCGGTCTATTAAGTCAAGATATATTATGGAAAAAATATATCCGCTGGTGTATTTTAATTACTAAGGTCAACAATTTTGCCTGTAAGAATGAAACCTTTTCAACAAGGTGGTACCGAGAAATAAATATCGATGTTGATGGCAGATTGCCTTTCATTCTTATTATAAATATTATTTTGTACGTCATTTCTTACTTTTATTGTTAGCTTCTTTCTGACTAATAGATACATATAGACCCCTCCGATCGATCCCCCGCTCAATTCAATCAGGGATCAAAATTATAACGGCCTGAGCCAAGGTTCAACCCCCTAACGATGTCTTCAGACTAAAGTCGTATCCGTCAGGGATTAGTTGGCCTTTAGCCGTTCCATAAGTTCCGCAAGTTTGTCGTCTGCACTCGCCCCCTATCGTCCGGTGAAGCTGTAATGGCATATAAGGCCAACAGCATTAGAGTAGTTGGAAAAAAATGCCTATAATTATTTATTGGTTTTCTTATAAAATATTTAATTTCTAATATAAAAATGGTATAGGAATCTCGCTCCAGTTACAATCAACTTGTCTATGGCTATATTAATAATTATTAATTCTTTCTATTTCATCGATAAGATGTCGAAGACTAAGAGAATACATCAGTCATGTACACTTGGACTACATATACTTTAATCTTGATTGTTATCACTAAATCATTTAAAACAATGGTCATATATACTTTACACTAAACGGTGCGAATTGACGCATCGGAGCATATAAAAACGATAAACGAAATTAAATATAAATATAATATAATTGTCTTCACGGTAATTTAAACTATTATTAAAAGTATACATATTTGCATATTATTCCCGTGGATTATATACATACATATACTCTAAGAGTTTGTATTGGAGTATTAAAAAAAAATGCGGAGGTACGAATAATGTGGCCTTATTTTACAGGCATTACTATTGCACATTTTAACATTCTTATATGTTATTGTTATTATGACAACTGTAATAGTTTGTTAACATATGTTATCGGGAACTTTTTCGTAGATATTGATGTCTTCTATAATAATATTGTATATCACTTTGCCCTATCGTCAATAAATTCCGCACCGTACGCGAAATAAGATATTTTTTCAGACGTTTGCGTTACATTACGAAATTTTCGTATCCTAACGTTTTTGAAAATATTCTTTCCCTGTATCCATTAGGAATAATAAAGGATTATATTTATAAAATATATTTGCAAATCGGTCCTGTAATTTTGGAGACTACTTATTCCAAACAAACAATCAATCCCTCCTTAATAATAATTAAAATTTCATGACACTGTTCAAACAAAACTCCTCCGAAACAGATTCTTAAGACAATTTGTGTGTATTCTAATAGATCTGAAAATAGGACGGAAACCACTCTTATGCCCCTCATAGGGTGGCTATGAGGAGCATGAACTATTATAAGCACTAGCTCAAATTATTATTTTTATTTTTAGACAATTTTTTTTATTATATGCATGCAACCATAAACTTTCACCTTTCTGCTATCAACCCTATTTTTATAGCGATATTAGTACTTATTTTAATTTACATGATAAAACTACATTTGCCGGGTCACCTAGTATTAGTATAGATTTATCATATGAACTTAGTCCTATGCTGTCTCTGGTTAAAGTTTATGTAAACAAAACAAAACGGGATCTCCTATATATCTAGTATCTACTCGCTGATAACTTCCTGTCACCCTTATTATTTCTGCACTTTGCACCTTGATATATTTATGTTTTGGTACAAAATATAATCTCCAAATATTATAATCGTTACTACGACAGCTAAAGTCCATTATTTACATATCTATTTTACTAAGTCTTGCTCTAACTAGCTTGTTTTTACTTTCTTAGGTAGATATATAGTGTGAACATATTGCTTGGTGCATTCATGTGTTGCATTATATGATTACATAGATAATGTTGTTATAGGTACATCAGTTTCAAAATATTCACAAATGATACAGTTATTTCGGATTTGGATTTTGTTTAAATTGGAGCACTGGTCATAAATATTTCACTGAATTGGATTTTTTTTAGATTAATTTTAATACATTTAATGTATATTTAAAACTGATTGTTACCAATGTTAAACATTGAAATAAACATAAACAGAGTCACTAACACTGTAAAATATACTGTGACATAAATCCATCGCATATGCAACACCATAAATGAAAACTAGAGTACTATTGCATCTTGCATGTTGGTTCAATAGAAAACTTACAATAAAAATAATCAGTCTAACGCCCAGTCATAAAGAATAACTAGCTTAACACACAAAGACGAGGTAATCAGTATACCATCATATGATGTTTATATCATTATCAAAACTAATTCGTAGGTTAATATATTCTATGTAGGTACTTTCTTTTTTATACATTAATGATCTATTATTTAATTGAGGTATCACCATCAAATGAATGACATCGTAATTAGATACAAACATTAATAGGTAATAATAATATCTCCGAACATTCAAAGTCAATGTTTTATGTTTACAAATATTATAATAATTAAGTCAGAATAATGTTTACCAATTTTGGAAATATAAAAAGTATGCTTATTTAATGGATGATAAGGTAGGTAGATGGTTATTGTACAGGACTCCTTACATTTGGGCCGCTGGCTGGTACGATTATTCCTTACTTTTAGGAATTTATATTTATATCGGTTGCTATGGTTTTGTTATATATTCCTTTTTACGATTCCTTGTATTGCTCTTGCTTTCATATAGTTTGTTACGACATATATTTTTATAATATACTATCCTTTTACATATTGCACCTTTAATTACCACCATCGTTGGCTGCACCGACCCCAGCGCCCTATACACAGTCCCACACAGTTATTATCTTCATTTTTATAAAAAAATATCGTGAACTTTTAAAACTATTGTGTTATTGTTTATAATATTATAAGAGATGCGATAAAGAGATTTATAAATAAACAAACAAGTTTACCTACGTACATAATACAAACTACCCATATAATATAACTACCTACATAATAAATGTACCTACGTATATGTACTAACAAAATACTGTAAAACTATCGGCAATAGCTATACGTAGGTACTTTTTAAGTAAATGATCACTTCATATTAATATGAAGTGATCATTTACTTAAACACTATACACAATATCAACGATCAATAATAAGAATGTATAAAAAGTAGTAAGGGAATTATGTAAGTATATTCTTACACAATATATTGATATTTTTACCCGGTAATACGTTATTCAAACTATATATATAAAATAGATGTCTATAATGATGGATAATCTATTTTTGTACGAATTATTTTATACAAACATATGTTTTCTATTTAACATAATTCTGTAATGGTATCGGTACTCCAAAGAAACAATATCAAAAAATACAATGTAACTCCCATGCAAATATTAGAACCAGCAGATAGTTCCTGAAGTTACCCTGACTTCTTTCTATTTATTTTTTGGAACAATCATTAGCCGAAATAAACATCTATAATAAAAGAGGACTTACTGCCACCGCCGTTTATCGTTCAATTTAACAGATGCGCTGTTTCCCATGTTATGTGACGGTCACTTAGGTTGTTCGATACACTTTCTTCGGCAGTTTCCGAGTACCCGCATACAAACAATCGTGTTGTTAATACCAACAACAGACGCGTGTTAGCCATTCGACTACCGTTGAGACTTTGCCCTACAATACAGGTGAGTCGACTCCGCTGGCTGGCCATGACTTTCCCTCGCTGGCACGTCTTTTTTGCGTCACTTCCCTGGTTTATGCCTAGATCAGTTTATGCCTGGATAATGTTTAATTTACTACTACTGTAACTTCAATTATTTATACGTATAACTTTATTTTTATACAAAATGGACGATCTATAGGTACATTAACTAAACGTTCATTTAAATATTAATATAGTTAATACCTATTGTTTGCAAATGATACTACTTGCTATTCAAAATATAATTTGTCATAATATATGTAGAACAAATTAAATAAGATATTGTTCTATTCCATCCTATTCCACACTAAAGTTTTCTAAAAAAACTTATGTATTTCAATCTACCTACCACCCTCAATATGTATAGAAGAAGGAATAATAGGTACATATATACGTATGAGTATGGACTCATAATAATCGTAATACTCGTATACTATACTACTGACGAAAGTTGGTGTACCTACTTTGTATCCATCAGTACTTTTTTACTTTGTACTTTTGCTCAAATACTACTGACAGATTAGAATGAAATTTGGCGCACAGCTAAATCTCCTAGATTAGTACAAACACTACTTTAGTGGTAGATGATGGAAGAGTGCCCATGCTTGAGCTCGCGAGGCACCAGTGGAGGGTGATAGAGTGAGTATAAAGTCAGGTCAGTTAGCATATTGTAATGAATTCACCAGGTACATATTAACCAAAATTGTTTCCAGGGAGGACGGCGTAAAGGTCAACCTGACTTGTATATCATACCAATACCCTGTCTTCGTTACTAATAATCGTTTCCTCTCTAATGTGTGTGTATTGATGTGATATAGGTATGTGAAAGTGGATACCTTGCAGAAATATGATAGCTCTGCAAAGTTCAGGAGGAAATGTAAAAAATGGAATGTTTTCTAAGAGTGGTCAAACACAATGATTCGCCTTTCAAGGGTGTCCCCGAGTTTAATCCTGCATAAAAAATGTGTTTCTTCTGTGTGGGATCGAACCCGTATCCGCGAGACTTTATGATGGGCTTGGGCAGTATGCGCTAAAGCTCTTTGTCTCTCTCATACATTAAGTTGAAGTTTACTGACAGTTATTATTCTTAAATTGACATTGACAATTGCAAAAAATGGTTAATTGTCACAGACAGTATGAGTGTTTTAACTGCTCTTCAAAGTAACAAACTACATTATAAAACCAATTATATCATAGATAGTATTAAGCAAATATTATATGAGCTCTCATTGGAGTGTTATGATATTATTTTATTATGGACACCATCACATATTGGTGTTTTCGGCAATGAAAACGCAGATTTCCTGGCAAGAACTATCACCAAGAATGAATAACATTGGCGTTGTCAAGGATGTTGCCATACCTTATTCCGACATTCTTTCTATAGTTTACAAGAGTTTTCGTCAAAAATGGGTTGAACAGTGGCAACTTTCGCTAAAGACCAAGGGTAATTGGTTTTACTCCATTAACAAAAATATTAATTCCTCACCCTATTTAGTGAACCAGGTTCACTAAATCTAGAGTTTATAAAAACCGGAAATTTTACACACTCCTTATACGACTTCGATTTGGTCACGCTAGATTCAATAATCATTTGTGCCGAATGAAAATAATTGATTCAAGTGCATGTCAAGAGTGAAATAACAGCAGTCAGACCCTATCACGTATTTTTCGAATGTACCGCTTATAATATTCAACGCTTGGTCTTTATTGATAATTTACTGAACATTTACAAGAAACCGGAAAAAATCCCGCGCGACATCCAAGACATGCTAACTAATTTTGAAACATATATACCTATATATTTATACATTACCTCTATATCGATAAAACTTTAAATAATTGATACAAGGATATGGACTATAGATAAGACTTAAATTTTGAACACGAATGAAAACATAATGAATAAACGTACATAAGAATTGGCCTTTGGCCTCATCACTTGTTCAAATATGAAGAAGTATAAACGTAGACTAGGCTGTACGGTCTAAGGATCTTTGCCTGTTCCATCACTGAAAAGGAGATGGACGAATATGGAAAAAAAAAATTACCAATTTTGACAGAACAATAAAAACATTTTCATTTGAGGTTATGTCTAATACGTAAACATATTTTCGTGTTTTTGTACATAAACGTATACTAGAATTACTTTATAAATTAGAACTATGAATAAAGAAGGTAAATAAAAAATATATACAATTATACATTGTATATATTTTTTTTATATGCAATTATATTGCATCATTCTACTCGATCGTCTGTCCCATTTAATTTATATCAATTCTGTTTTAGAAGTAACAGATATTTTTCTGAAAATATTAAAAGAAGAGGAAGATGTATCAGCAGGAGTGGCTGCTATTAAAACACTTTTAACTGTAATAGAAAATTATAAAGGTGAGCATTCAACCAAAGTCCAATTGTGTATCGAATGATCACTGATATAACTATAAAACTCTTTCAGGTTGTCTGACCATAATCGTTCACCTGATCAAAAAAGTTCTGCTTTTATAAACAGTAAAAACAATAATTATAATGACTCAAGACACTTCACACAGCTCCATCTAGTCCCACACCAAGCAGAGCTTGTTATGGGTACTAGATAACTGATATACATAGTTAAATATTTTTTTTATAAATATATACATAGTATACTCAGTAAAATACATGCTCCTGAATACATATACATATATTTGTATCATGCAAGAAAGCGATCCCACAACCATGAGTAGTAAAGCTGTGTGCTCCTAACTCTATTCTGAGGAGATAAAAACCATTCCTAAGAATATCCTTCAATTCTTGTCCCTGACCGGGCTAGATAGCGAACACTGAAAAAGGGTGAGCTCAATAAACCTATGTAGGTTGCAGTACAACAGGTCCAAGCACTTGAGAATAACCCAAACCCCCAATAAAGAAAATAAAACAAAAGTGGTGTGTTTAATGGTTAGACTTAATATATTATTGATGACTTCAGTAAGTCATCAATAATTTATTAAGTACAACACTTCTAAACTTTTTACTATTATCCACAAAGTCAGTATCACAAAAAAATCACAAGAAAATCTTGAGAACAATATGTCAAAGAAAACTCATTAATTTACCTCATTTTATTGTATCCCCAAACTCTAATTCTTGCCAAATATGTAATAGTACAAAATTAAGAACACATGCCAAATAATAAAGTTTTTTTATTTACTCAAATTTCGTAATAATGTTATGTTTAAAAATGTTTAATTTTAGTAACCACAGTGAGAGAACTTGATAAGAACCTACAACTGGCGGTGGAAGCGATGCGACATTGTGATCAGCCTGTCACTGCCATCTCCTCAGGCTGTGAGCTGTTCATGAGGTTCATCACATTTGCCAAACTTGATGTCAAAGTGAGTGGTTTCAACTGTTTTAATGTGTAATGGTAGAAGAATCATGTTAAAAATTCTCTATTTATGTAAAGTGAACACTATGAGACATTGTGTATATATTATATGGTACTACTTAAAATATTAATTTATGATTTTCAGTCCTTTGAAGAATGTGAACAAATAATGTTACAGCGAGGTCGCATTTTCTTAGACCAACTATTAGAAGCTAGAGGAAAGGTCGCCCAACAAGCATTGCCATTTATTAGTGATGGAAGTGTATGTATAACATTTTGTATATATTAACTCTTATCTTCACCAAAATATATCTTTTGGCTTGTCCACCTTTAGTGGTGTTATACGTATATATCAAATATTTGAGATATTATTCCACAATTTACCTGCTGATATGATGAAACTATAGAACAAAAATTTTGCCTACAAAAATCTATGTAATCCAAAATAAATAGATTATAAATATCAGTATGTTTTAGTAAATTCACATTTTTGCCTTTGCATGGTAAAAATGTTCAATTTCAACCCTTGGTACTTTGAAATTCAGTTATTTGAATAATATTTAATTTTCTTGACTTGTGTTCGTAATAGTGAATAAAGCAGACAGTAGCATTATAACCATTTTAACAAGGATTTTCATTATGTCCTAAAATTGTTGATATTCTATGTATAATCTATTCCATGTATGATAATGTAATAACCTTTTAAAATATTGTTTTTGTAGAAAATATTAACTCATTCTCGGTCCAGAGTAGTTTTACAAGCAATGTTGGAAGCAGCAAAGGCTAATAAAAGGTTTCAAGTATTTGTTACAATGGCCTGTCCAGAGAATAGTGGGTAGGTCACTTTACTATACTATTAATATAATTTTGTAACAAGAGTTATAGTATTAAGACCTAGTATTTTATAATCTATATTTGTACTCCAATAAATATATATATCGCAAATAAATATATGGATCTCAAAGCAATATTGAGAGTGATGAACTTCTTAGCATTTCATGGATACACCATGCGAAAACCGGCTCCATCCAGAGAATATACATCCATGTTCCAGAGACAGAGACTTCAAGCAGTTCTAGGAATTTGTGACATAGTGTAGGCTTAAAGAGCCTCTTGCCGATATACGTCAACACTCACTTCTACTGCTCGTGTTTCTCTTCCTACCCAGTCAAATCTCACTCGTGTTTCTCTCATTCATTGAGGAAGACTATAAACTATATAACTTTATGCTACTACCAATAGTGCGGAGTCGTTATGTAAAATGTTGCAAAAAGGAAAATAACTACGCAAACAGTTGTTAAGTCTTATATATTTGTGATCAACATGTCCATTTTAGTTCATTTTAGGTCTCTGTTTCAGAGAGGTAATGCATAAGCAACTGGTATCAGCTGGTGTAGATGCGACCCTGATCCTAGACTCTTCAGTGGGGTATATTATGGAACAAGTGGACATAGTGATGGTTGGAGCAGAGGGTGTCACAGAGAGTGGAGGAATTATTAACAAGGTGACTCTAAACTGTTTGTTTTACAGTTTCTGATTTTCTAAATACATTTTTTTTAATGGATTAATACGGAATGGTGCACCGCCAGTGCTAACGGTTTCCGCTGGCAGGGTACCTGTGGAAGATGATAAGATGAGCTGATGATGGGTCAGTTAGCCCATCGTAGCAAATTCCAATTTCCAAAAGGAAACCATGTGGAAGTTGACTTGGTATATTGCTAGCGATGGAGTAATTAATTCACATTACTAACAATCCCTTTCCCAAATCCTTGTATTACATTAAAGTTATATTTTTTTATATTAAAGACTAACCATTTCGACGACTTTTTTAAAATTGTCCTATAAAGTTACAAGTTAAAGTACAAAATAATAACTGAATATTTTCTGCAACTTACAGATTGGCACTTACGGACTTGCAATGGCGGCGCTTGAATTAAAGAAACCAGTATATGTTCTTGCGGAAAGCTTCAAATTTTCAAGGATATACCCACTGAATCAACAGGACTTGCCCATCGAGTTTAAGTATTTATCAAGTGTTATAAATGCTCGTAAAAACCTTTCACAAGAACACCCACTTGTTGATTATACGCCACCGGCTTACATCACGCTGCTGTTCACCGATTTGGGTATACTCACACCCTCGGCAGTTAGTGATGAACTTATTAATTTGTATTTATAATTAATATAATAAACTGTATATATAATTCTGTTACACTATTTTTATATACACACATTCTAGAATTATTACCTGTACCGTGTCATCGAATTGTGTATTTTTCTTCCTATTCGTTCCTCTTCTTATAATATCGAAACTTTTAAATGAAGTTTGAGATATATCAAATAACAAGGTGAAACATACCACCATTTTACTGGATGTTGGATGCCGATACTCGTATCTGGACCACACTACCCCTTACCATCACTTTTATGAGCTAGGGATATTTCATTATTTCACTACAGCCGGCTACTGCGTGGGCGAATATATTTGTAGACACCTCTATTGATAATAATCAAACGATAAAAACAAATAAAATATGTATAAAGCGCCAGGAATGTTCATTATGAAATAAATGAATTATTCAATAATGGTGTAGGATTTAAACGACATCGGTTCCTATTTATCCGTTTAATCCTTAAAATGTTTGGTTTTTTTTTTCTGAGTACATTTGCGATCAGTCCCAGGACTATAAGCGAATGTTCTGTGATGCTGTCATGTAGAGTGGCTTCCCATTAGAAACACAAAACATCTGCATCCCAGAGCTACTGCCGATATTCTAGCTCCAGAAAAAAAAAACGTTTGGTAAGGATAATTTTATAAGACAGAATTAATACACATAAATTTAATAATTCAAAATGATCTGGCACTTTAATATGTTTAAGAAAAATATTTACATTCATAATATTTCAAATTACATTACATAATCTAATAAACACTGAATCAACTTTAGTATTCACATCTCACTTTGTGTTTGTTACATTAATTAATATAACTCACATTCCAATATCATGCTCGGTTACGGGCAAGAATAATAAAGACAACATTATTAATTCTATGGAAGCACAGTTGGTCTGTTCATGGAAGCACAATTAATATTATCACAAACGTTTTAATTAATACATTCAACTATTGTAGTCAGAACAGTGAAATACAAAGGGACATTTAAACACAAACATTAAAATAGATATTTTATAACAAGTATATGATAAAATTTATGTATCAATTACTATAAATGTCTTATTCTGTTTAGTACATTAGAAATAAAATCTCACATATATCCACTAGTAATGTAAATAAAGTATACATAAATCATAATATGTTCTTAAATAAACAATACAAAATAATTACAATACTTAATTCAGTTAAATGAAATCGACAGCAGACTATACTATACCTAATTGTACTATAGCTATCATATAAGATACTAACTCCCTCGTTATACAATGAGAGCGGAATAAACTAATCACATATCTACGGCTAAAAAGTACCATTCGAAAGAGATCAACACTACAACAACGTGAGGCATTCCAATAATACTTATGAAACGAGTGGCTTACCTACGTATCACGATTTTTATGTAATTGGTATGACAAACAAGCTAGTGGTCTACCTGTTGGTAAGTAGTTAGTAACCGTTTATATATAAATAGCACCTCGGACATTACGTCGTTATGTGACACCCGTGGCACCACTTAATTGTTGCCATTCCATAGTAGATGATATAAGATGTCCTGCCTCCCATCCCATCATGATATCCCATCATTTCTTTTAATTGTTCCCATCCTTCAACCGAAAGATATCTCAAAGCAATCTACTTGACGGCTGAAATAGGTGAGACAGAGGTATCCCACGCAGAGGATTTACAAAGTCTACCGTTAATCGTTATCATTCTTCTTTATGATAACGATTAACGGTAGACTTTGTGAACGCATATAGGTCAGTGTATTCAGTTCATAAAATAAACCTTTAACCAAATCTCTACATAAATAGTGTTGCTAATATAAAATAAAGGGTATGATATCGAATAATTCAGTGAGGTCGAATAGTCTATAATATATAAATTGTTACATTAATATTAGATAGGAAGACGAAAATAGAAATCATCAGTCTATTACGAGAGTAAGGATTAGAATTAAATTTAGTACACTAATTTATTTTGAGTTATTTGGTCTCAGGTTTGAATCTAAATTAGCAATATCACACTCAGGGCCGTATTGAGTTATATATAGGCCCTTCACATAGGTAGGTTACTAGGTTAACTTGGCTTTTCATTTAACGTTAATAACACCCACAGTGCAAAACGTAACAATACGAGAACTAAATAGCCAATAATTTCAAATAATTAACGAATGATTGGGTAGGATCGTTGTGGTATCTACAATGACAGTAATAAATGATTTCGTTGTTGTGAACAAATTTTGCATAATTTTAATATGATACTAAAGAATTATGACTTTTATAAATACTAATATATCTATGATATGATATATCTATCTATATACAGCAGGATTTATAGACAGTTATGGCTACATACATACATTATATTGATAATTCGGGATTACAAGGCTCAGGATGTCAAATCAGATCAATCTTTGTGGAAGGAATAACGAATGCCTCATAATTTACTTTCCGTCGTGACTTTTGCACCAATTCCAGTAATCTGTTATCTATTGTATATGTTGTCTATAATTGTATATATTTGGTGGAAATGCGGCCGTTTCTCGGGCTCGTACTCCCAGCACCGTAGCATTAATGCGTACACATCTTCAGCACATGATTCGGGCGCGGGCATACGGTAACCTGGCAATATAACAAAAACGAATTGTATTACAATGACGACAAATGTGTCAATATTAACAAATTATCTTTAATCCTTCATACTTTTCATACAACAGCGCTTTTGCGAGACCGATGTAGATCGATTTTCAAATCGTTCAAAATGGTTTTTCATAGTTTAACGTGGATTGGTATTGTTTAACTTAATCTCTGCGTGTAAATTTATTTTCGTTGTGGACCCACCGCAGACCCACCGGTAGGCATGCGGTTTTTAACTACTAATAATACAAAAATGACGAGATAATTTTTTATCTTACCTGTATCTATTTTCTCTCTAGCGCGCGAGTTTGTCATGCCGGCATACGGGGTATCACCCTTGGAGAATATCTCCCACATCAACACTCCGTAGCTCCACACGTCACATAGCGAAGTGTATTTACCTGAAAACAGGTAAATCAATGGTATAATCAGTCATAAATATTTTTTTAATATACACAATATTATGAGTGGGCCCGTTATAACACTAATTAATAAAACACATGACTTTGATTGTTTTGAATGAGTCAATCATTAAGCATAAAACTACTTAAACATAAATGCTACCAATTAATTTCTGTTCGTAGGCAGTCAAATAACGTAATGTTTATTAATTGAATCTCGATTAATAATTAATTAGCTAGTATGTATCTAATTACTCTACTTAAATCTGATGGTAACTAAACTACATAATCATATTTAGTTACCATCACATTTATATAATAACTAGCTGTTCCCGCGACTTCGTCCGCGTGGAATTTAACTTTATTTTTCTAAAATAAAAGTAGCCTAAGTTACTCCTTATTATATCAGCTACTTGCCAAAAAAGTCCCGTCAAAATCGGTGCAGCCATTTCAGTGATTAGCCAGAACAAACAGACAGACAGAGAAAAATTGTAAAAAATGTTTTTGGTGTATGTACCGTATTTATATTCATATGCATGTAGTAAAAAACGGTTATTTCAATGTTACAAATAGACACTTCAATTTTATTTATATGTATAGATGTATAGACAATAATTATTATTGTCTATACATCTATACATAGATATATATAGGCGCTGTGTGAATTGTCCTGAGGTTATACCTCAGGATAATTCACACAGCGCCATCTAGTCCGAAGCTAAGCTACCTAAAGCTTGTGTTATAGCAGCTGATAAATACATATAATTTTTTTTTCGTAAATACATACATATCATCTATAGAAAATATTAGTGCGTTGTGAAAAAAATCGATGGGTAGATTTAAAATTCCATCAGTTTAGTCCAATATTAATATAATTAGTACTTATATATTAGTATAAATAATAATTTAGTAGTAATTTAGTTTTAATAGTCTCCTTTTTTAAATTATGATAATAATAAACCTGGAGAATTCACCCAGGGTCATCTAGTCCCAAGTTATATAGAACTTGTGTTATGGGTAGAAATTCTGCATTTTTTTATAAATAAAACATACATAACACCCAGACCGAAACAATCATACCCAATACAAATGTTTGCACTATGCGAGGAATCGAACCTAATGAATCGAAAGTAAATAAAGCAGTGTGCTAAACCGCTAGACCACCGTGGCCGTCTTATACAATAAAGATTTTACGTAAAAATAAAATACTCACCAAAATTCAAAGCCTCTGGTGCTGTCCACTTAATAGGAATCTGCTTCATGCCCCCCGATACAATATATTCTTCTTCTTCCCTTGACATCCCGAAATCTGATATCTTGACTATATTCTCTTCACCCACGAGACAGTTCCTGGCAGCTAGGTCCCGGTGGATGCAGTTCTTTGACTCGAGATAACGCATCCCCGCAGCCGCATCCCGACACATTGCGAGAAGAGATCGCGAGCTCATTGACGATGTACGTGTTCTTAGAAACGTGAGGAGTGAACCACCTGTGGGAAAACCAGTCAGTACAATCATACAAAGGATTTTTAATTGTAGAAATTATTAATTATTTTAATATTGACAATGTTGTAGCGAAATTCAATCTGGTTAAAAGTGCATCGGGATTGTTATCACCGTATGGAGACGTAAACAAATGGAAGGGTGCCGAGTGTTGACAGAAATACAAGTTACAAGTTTAGGCACAATTTTTTTTTTTTTACTTTTCTCATTCTAAGGCTATATAATCGTATTGTAGAAATATAAAAAAATAATTACAGCAACATCGTATAGGTAGGTAACAATTATACAATAATGCAATAAGTGACTCAAATATCTATAACCAAATATGAAAAAATTGCCTGAAGTGAAATGCCGGAATGAGAAATAACACTACATGTTTCATTATAATCTAAGTATATGGGAAATTTATCTATCTTACAAATAGTTTTTTGCTCTGTTTTCCGTTTATTATTTTAATTGTCAATACATAGATATAACATAGCTTACCCGACACAAGTTCCATAACAATCATAATAGGCTGCTTCTGTACCGCGATTCCGATGAGCCGTACAATGTTAGGATGTTGATACTGCTTCAGAATTCGACCTTCTTGCAAAAAAGTACGTTTCTGCTCTTCTGGCAGTGCCATGCGACATGTTTTTACAGCTACTTCTTGACTTGTCGTCTTCAATCGTGCTTTATACACATCACCGAAATTACCCTGCAACATTAAAGTATGACAAATTTACATTTTAAGAAATTAAACATAACAAATATGTGTTAGATGAATTGGTTCCAAAAAACTTGTAGCGCGATAGTTATCCTCACCACTGTAGCGTTATTATGATGTGATGAGGCGTGGCTACATAATTTATTGTTATATTATAGTATCTAGGTAGTTAGTATACCGGTGAAATGATTGTACGAATTGTTGTACATTAGTAAGTTTATTTGGTAGTAGGCACATGTAGCACACGTGGCTTATTGTTGCAGTAACGCGTAGTTTCGACGCGGTGTCGTAGTATGGACTAACTTTTACGCTGAACTTAAATCTATGTTAGTGGAGACGTAAACTAATGGAAGGGTCTCAAGTGTTGACAGAAATATTACAAGTGTACACAAATTCATAAAGTATTAATTTTTTTTCACCGGAATGAGAATTCTTTTGCTACGTATAGAAAACAATTACCCGTCCAATCTTATCCAACAGTTGAACGTCATCGTTGTTCAATTCCCAGTTCTCCCTGGGCACGGCTCTCCGGAGCAATGCCCCTGAACGGGCTGTAACCGGCACCCCACTAGTTCGCTGCCATGCTATCAACTCGGCAACTGATGGGAACGCGGCGCCCTCGAACCTATAGTGACCCTATAAAGAAACGATTGATATAGAAAAAAAGAAATGGAAAGCAATAAGCATTACATTGGGCATTGGCAGTTATAGAAGTATAATAGCGGATGAATATGGTAGACAATGCCGCAGAGTGTTAAGTTCGTCAAATGTACTAAGTACCATATGTATTATGTGCATTGAAGTTAAATAAATAAATACTGCTAAGGTTGGCTACTGTTGGCATTCACGCACAATTATTAATTTTATTATAAAGAAATTTTAATTTATGTTATACTAGCTATTACCCGCGACTTCATACGTTTTCTATCTTTTACACCAAATTTCATTTAGATTCGTTCAGCGGTTTAGTTGTGAAAAAATAACGAACATACAGATAGTAAGCCATACTTTCGAATTTATAACATGAGTAAGTATGGATATTAATAGCTATAAAACCGCTATACTGAAATTATATATGATGTACCTGCTTCCTTACACTGCCTATAACCAGATGACAAGTTTGAACGTGGAAGAAAGCTCAAATGAATAATTATACGGATTTATGTATGAAATATAAATGGTATATCTTATATTCGTATTTCTTACAAATCTATTTTCTAATGAACTAAAAATATATGACAGTCCTATTTTTAAGATGCTAGTTCGCAGACGTTTTCCTTCTATGACGCCTCGTGTATAGGTAGAACTGTGGGAGTCATACTGTTTATAGTTATTTATACAATAAAAAAATTAAATTCCTTAATATGATGCAGCTGCGGGGATGCGTTATCTCAAGTCAAAGAACTGCATCCACCGGGACCTGCCGTTTCTTTTAAGTAAATTATTCTGTACATTATTTTTTCTACCAATATTTTTTATGCCTCCATTAATGACAAAAAAAATGTATGTATTTTATTATAATTATGACGGACAAGTTCTAGTTCTACTTTTACTATTCTATAAACAGTAGAATGGTAAAACAACAGTGTTTTAACAGTGTTTGTATTGATGGGGGTGTTTTCTATGTATATTAGGTATGTATGTATTTGTATTTAAAAAAAGATATTTATATCAGTTGTTCAGTACCCATAACGAGTTCTGCTAAGCTTGGTATGTGATGGCGCTGTATGAATTTTCCTGGGTTTTATTATTATTATACAATAAAAGTACACGTATAACGGCCCAGGTGAGAGGCTGATTGCGGAAAACGGAGTCCAATTTACATTATTATAGAATAAAAGTGTGACCACTTTTATAATGTAAATTCCGGTGTACTAACCTCAGGTGTAGTTTGCACGATGAAATGTTTATGTTGACCCCAACACACGGACAGCACTAGTTGCCGTGCATGGTTCCTCGTCGTCTCTCTGACCAAGTAGTCGCCATCAGCCCGTAGAAGCCGTACCACCTCTTCCCTCGGTAACACTCCGTGAAACCACTCTTGTTCTACTAAAGACCGCTCTGTCTCGCTCACACTCACCTACAAGGAAAATACATGGTCAGTATTATAAATATTATAGGAATAATTTATTATTTCCTTGTCATAAAGTACCTAAAGCTATTAAAAAATGATTTCTTGATAGAATACAAAATCTGATCCAACTCGTAATCACTTAGAATTTACTGAATTCGGGGGACAAATGTATTGTTGTAAGTTTGTAATATATACAAACTTACCAAGAGAGATATCAAGAGAAATAATTTTAATAATTCATAAAACTGAGCGGTCCCGTGATTAATTTAGTAAGAAACGTACTTTTGTTCAGCAATCCACTGACTTACAAGAAACAATCAAGTAAGTCAGTATCATGAGTGTGTTTATTAAACCTAGATTATGGCTTGGTATACCTTTTACAATTAATCATGTAGGCATACCACGTACTGTTAGTCACACTAACAATAAGATAAGTTAAATATTTTATTATATTGTATTAGGAGTAGCGTATTTTCACGTTATACCTACCCTTCTTTTTTGTAGATTATAATCTACTCAGTTGACAGAATTTATGTGCTTACATATAATACAGCGTATAATAAAAAAACATTAATATAAATATTATCTTAGTAACTAACATACGTGATACATGCAAACAAACACGAAACAATGTATACAGCATACAGATACTGCATAGGTAATTAAACTTTAAGTAATCATAAACAGAAGTAAATAAAGAAATTATGAACGAGAAAAAGAAACAATTAAACATAACTTTTATACCACAAACTAGATTATCATTACAAACAATATATCGAACGACACAATTAAATATCAACACACACGCACACAATTAAAAACATACGTATTCATTTTCTAGATCAAGTTGTAGTTGCTTCAGTCGCTTCTTCCGTCTGGGGACGACAACAGGCGGCGGCAACTCCGAATGTGTTATGTACATAGAGAACGGATCCATATCTTAGCAAATTACTATAATATCCGCACTAAAGATCACTTTATTATCTTTTTATCATGTTCAAGTAAAATATACACGAGAGAAACAGGATGATGGTGACGTAAAACTCTCGACTGAAACACATATCTACGAGCGACGCGCGACCTGACAAATATTCTGGAACGTCACAAGCGACCTCACCTTGATTTTGAAACTGAGTTTTAAAGGAAGCCGGTGCTATTTTAATTTTATTCGAAAGCTTGATCTGAAACGAAGTTCGTGCGATGGACGGTGACGCTAAATTTAGCGCTAACACGTCGAAATTGTGCTGTATTTTTTTCAGTGCCACGCTATAGGAGATAAAAGCTTCATGCACCTCGTGAATTCCATGCCATGCGTGACGTAACGACTGTAGTTAGCGGCACTCACCACACTGTTAGAACAATTATTGACTACATTGCGGTTTTTTCTTCTTTTTCGGAAAACACTCTTGTTTTGTACACGGCAATTGACATAAACATCGACACGCTTGCGCAAACGTCGCTTGAGGAGCGTCATTCGTCCTTTGCGAAGAGCGAGCACTGTTACCGTGTCTGAGGGACCCATGCTGCTGCTGCGATAGGTTTTTGGAGGCAGCGCAGGACTCGAGGGTACGGATTTACGCCGGAATGGCCGTGTGAACAATCTGAAGAACGGCTTCGGTGGAATAATTGAGTGTAGATGCAATCGCAAAGCGTCCACTGACGCTCTAGATCCGATTGAGGCACGGTCCTGATAATTAATTTACGTTTTTACACAATTCCTATCTACACAGTAAGATGTACCTAAATATCACTATTTTATGCACGCGTTATGTACTACAATATTTACAGAAAATACAAATAAAGGAAAGCATGTGAGAAAAAGAAATCCAACTGAGTATACCCCAAACAAGCTATAGGATGTATGCAAGGTCATAATGATTATGATATAAAATTTATCAAACTTGTCGAATTGATCTGTTCGACAAGTTACCATCAAATATGGAGTTGTATACATTCTTTACTCTGAGTAGTCTAGTCTAGTATCTTGAGTCTGAAACTTTAAACATACAATTCTGTCATAATATAAAGGTACAATTAATTGAACACAAATAGGGAATGGAAACTTGCTGCGTAATGACTTGTTTTTAAAAGAAATCTCAAAGAATACTGAAAAAGAATGTGTCACATAAAATCCCCGTGTACTGGATAACTAGTAATTTCATTACCTACAACCTTGAATGGGCAGAATTCCCGCATGCTGTTTATCGATTGATTTATCAATTTACTGAAATATCCTTAGTACACCACGTAAACCCTCAACCATTGCATAAATAGACATAACAAATCGTCATTACCTGATGATCGGGTGAGCTGCCGTCGAGACTATCAACTCCTACAGTCTCCGCAGATAAGTCCGGACAACCACTGGGTGCTTCTTCACAACCCAGCTCAGCTAATGCGGACCGTATCATCTCGGCTTGTTTCGCACATTTCCGCTCTGCTACTCGGAGTTCCAACAACTTTATGGGTTCCAAAGTTGTTACAGGGAGCGGTGGTGGTGAATGCCTAAAGAGGAAACACACAAATATATAGTCAACTAACTGTTACCCGCGATTTGTCTGCTTTTTTTAGATAACAGATGACCTATGTCCATCTTCCTGATATAAGCGATCTTCATATCAAATTTTATTAACATCCTTTCAGCTGGTTAGCCGTGAAAAGGTAACAATCAGGCAGATATACTTGCAGATTTAAAATATTAGTAAGAATGACCTCATCTGTGGGTACTGAGATTATTATAATATGGGAGGTACTTAATTAGAATGTGATGAGAAATAAAGCAGTCATAGCTCAGCACATTTGTTTGATTGACATCTCCTGTAACGAACGAACGAACATACATAACATCATCTATGAAGCGGAAAAGTTTGCTTGTTAAACCAGTGAAAGTAGAAAAAAGCATTGTTCCGTTTGAGGCTAATTCTTGAGGATGATTATTATAATTAAGATCAAAATGGAAAAGTCTGCAAAAACACTTAGCGAAACGAAGTAATGACGTAGGCGAGTGATGTAAGATGCAGTGCGTCAGGAGTTGAGGATAGCCGTTACATATTAAATTAAAAAACAAGTAAAACTGTCGAAGTAGGGTGATACTGTATCACCCTAATTGAGTAAATTACTACATTATATAATAATATTTTTAATTACGTATATTTAAAGTATTTATCAGAAAGAAAACATACGGTCTCGACCACAGGCTACAACCGGAGAGGATGTAAGAAGTATAAATTGATATAAAAACTGTTTTTGCTATGTCGACCATAATTGAATTCGTCGTAAGTTCAATTCTACCCACGCGTTGTTTGCTGACTCTCAGGTGAACCCAACAACAATATCAAACCAAAAATTAAACCGTCGGTGACTTTTGGGCGTCATGCACTCGTCGAGTATTTAAATTTATATAAAATCAATCAAGGAATTGGCTCAATACATAGTCTGTAGAGTAATCTTTGGAAGGAGTATGTTAGATGTTACGAAACAAGCTGTTACGAAAGAGTCGACTAAGTGTAAAATTATACGTCAATTTGTTTACAATATAAACGACGCGTGTTAATCCTATTATTTTTTTATATGACGAATAGACGAGGAAAATTGTAAAATGACGAGCTGCTCATTTATGCCCCATTTAAAGTTATCGTTTACAAAAATGTTTTTTACTTTATGAATATGCTTAAGGTAAAATTCTCGTCACCGACTACCGAGTAATAAATTATATATGTCAAAAGTTACGACCTCATTCTCTTTATACTTCTATGAATTTTTGTAACCTGGCTTAACTTAAATATTAATCCACTTCTAGTATTAAAATGGAATAGTTCAATAAAATAGTACAATTTGTATAAGCCATTTTAAATATTTAACACTGGGGTCGCGATTAGACAAGGCGCACTCAATCCGGTTACTTCTGAAATCTATCATAACCACGAACTTCGCTAAAGAGATGTTACTTCATGTAAATACTATCCTCCTATCTCCTCTACTGTTGTTTCCCAGCGTAAACTCTATACACATTGCACCCGAAATATTCCACTACTTTATTATTACATGTACATCACATTTAAACCTACACCCGACTATAGCAGATAGCTATATCTTAATTTAAAGTGTAAGAACTATAACAAAATTACTGGGCAAGTAAATATGACTCAAAATTTTCCCATTAAAAGCCACAGCAACACGCCAATAATGATGCTTTTGGTGATGCAAACGTTGATTTTACAGGATTGTTTGTATATATTGGTTTCTATTTACATTGCTAAGGTCATTTCTGTTCTAGAAAAGGGAAAATCGATACAAATTCCAATACCAAGCCAATCCACGTTAGGTGACCAGAATGATTCATAAAAACTTATGGTACATGCCTAAATCCTTCTCTTATAAAGAGCCCTTTTATTGGACTAATAGGTTATATATTTGCGTATTACGTAAGATACATAAAATTCACCTGTCAATTCCATTGACACCATTAGTAAGTCCGGTATTATTATTCTTGCAGACACCATTGCCTATAATCTCTGGCCCCTGCAATGCGGTCTGCTTTTCCCTATTGTCCTGCAGTATCCCCTCCAGTTCTGTTAATTTCTCTTTGAGCCATTCCACCGTGAGATTGTCTACCGTCAGCTGGTTCGGTTGAAGTTTACCGCTTGTATCTTCGACTAGACTTTCGTCAAATGTAAATACTATTGGTGTTGACGGTGGTGACCTAGAAACAGAAAATATTTTCAAATTAGTTCTACCTCGACCTCAACTGTGTATTTCAAAATAGTTTGTTTTAGACCAAACAGTTTGTTTTCTAAGTTATGTGTCAATTCAAGATAATGCAGTGAAATTGCAGTGCAATGCATGAAGGCGAGTAATATAATGAGATGAAATTATTATGCTATTCATGTATATAGGCGAACTTTGGCACATACCAACACGTGGGCTCATCTTGCTACATGAATCATCAAAATCAGATCTCAATTTGCAAAAATAGTGGATAATGTAACGACTTCAAAAATACAGTACATTTAAGAGTATCGTACATTAGAAATCGTTAGACAAAAAAGTCGATTTTTCAGCTATGACAAGAAAATATGATCGTTGCCGTGCTATCAACTTGCAACTGCAAAGCGTACTGATTCAGCACATTTCTACACGTAAATCATTTATAAATACCGTAGTATATAGTGCCCGATATTTTCTAAATTTATAATAAATCGTGACTATGTATTCTGGTGGCCCAGATGTTCGTTCACACAATATCCCAGTTTCAATACCAAGGTTATCATCTGATTATAACGCATTAGCTACTCACGACTATTCTAAGCTTACTAGTAATCAATGAAAAGATAATATTGTGTGATTTGTAGTTAGATGTTAGATAGTTATCACCCACTCATATTTTCTAATTCTAACCTGAAGCAGAAAGGAATGCTTAACTATATTATCGTAAATTCATTTCAAATTATAATTGTTAATGAAAATATTAAACCTATAAAAAATATTCAAAACTTACAAAAGAAACTTTTTACTTCATTTTCTTACATTACATAATATATTATTGATCAATAATGTAAATTTACAAACTTACTTATATTTCTCTATAAATTCTTTATATTCATCCTGAGGTCTCAGGTTTTGTATAGTTGATTCTATTTTGCTTTGTATTTCCCTGAACTTATCTGTACTAAAGTCTGACCGCTGCACCACTTCCAAGAGAATGCTTTTCCTGTGAACAATATGTTTGGTTGTAGTTTAAATACAGTATCTATATATATAAAATACAGTGAGTATTTTTATGAAATATATTAATAATATATATAAATATATATATATTAGGTATTATTATAGTATTTTTTATATGATCAAAATCCTAATACAGAGACTTGGTTTTTAGAAATTTTCCAGGAAAGACATACCGTGATATTCTCCTTACTCACAAAAATAAAAACTATCGACAAATCGATGAAATTACTATTTTGAAAGAATTTGTAGTATGAGATATACTGTAGAATTAAAAAGCCGTCTGCGTGTATACGTCACCCTCTTCTCTCAGCTTGCTTTTTGAGCTATTTCGATTGCAAAAGGCAGATTAGACAGAGAAATTACAGTATAAGATGCATGACATCTTTGTCCTCTGCAATGGTAACGCATGAGTGATATCACGGGTGTCACATGATAACGGGATGTCCGTATTTGCTGTTCATCTATATAGATGACGGTTACCACTTACCATCATCAGTTGGGCAGTCACCTTGTTTGCAATTCGAATTACATCAACAATACAATACAATAGTTAAAAATATACGATAAACCATTTTATGAATAAGAAAGAAACATTACAATACTCCAGTGTGCGTAGGTAGGAAATGGATTCGAATATCCACAAAATAAGTTCAACGCAACGATAAGAATTGATACAATGCCGAGATACTATAGAATTAGACCGGGATAGAGTATATTATTTTTATAACTAAAGAGAACCAATGACGTCAAGAAACTGTATTATCTTTCTTTTGGCTACAGTTTAAAATAACTAATCAGACAGTATGGAAATATACTGAAAGCTTGCTTGATCTGAAAAATCACATACCAAGAAGACGCCGTAGCTTCACCCTGCCTTCGTTGTTGATCTAATAGTGACGGCAATGCGGCCGTTCTTAATGCTCGCTCGCATTCTGTAGCCTCTGCCAGCAACAGGACGTATTCGTTGTGTGCTCTATGCAGTCTTCTACATGCTTTACCATATTTATCCCGAGTCTCGTCTAACTTACGACCTCCACGACCTGTAGGACCTGGAATAAAATTAATTTGGATATTAGAATTTTAAACAAAATTATATTAATGTCTTCTTCTTTAGAAGTAGGTACGCCAATAAGTACTTGTATCTTTATGACTCCTGTGAGCGAGGATGCACAGCGCTTCTAAACTGCTCAGACCACAGTGACTGCAGCATTCCATATGACACAATGAGCAATAAACCCATACAATCATGGCAAAATGACTAGGAGGTCTTATATATAATATAACTCTCCAAACACTTTGTTTACAGTCGTCTACATAAGTTATATCTTGTCCCAATTGTTTCTGTCACCAAGTAGATCTTATGTGACTGGTCGTGATCGAACAATTCGTAAAACATTTACGTAACGTTCTGTTAAATGTTATAACATTACTAATTACAGTAACGGATTAATTTATTAAAATAATTAAATTAAGAGTAGCAAATACTACGGGACCCGCACTTCAAACTGTCTGAACATAATGCAACAAAGAAATGATAACACATATTTTTTTATATAAATTGGTTCTATTGTACATAATCTAACTCTTGTAAAACATATGTCATTTGTAATTGTTGTTTGTTTTTACAAATTCATAGTTAATAACCAAATCCAAACAGCCCATGGTTTGGATATCGGTATATCTCTTGGAAGAATTTGATGCAGGCCCCGTGATGGCTAAATCCGATTTGCATGTTCACTTCAAAATATCATGAAATATTGGAAGTTTATACCAAAATAGTTCCAGTAAATGGAACGTGAACATGGAGAAGTTTACCATTTTCAATCAGGTTATTTGCCATTGCATGTTATATAAATAATTGATAGAAAGAAAGAAAGAAAAAAACAATATAAACAACAAACGGAAAAAAATGAGCAAATAAAATGTACATATAATTAAACTTAATTTACCATAATTAAATAAAATAATTGATACATTACATTGAATTGATAGCTTACATTTTAAGTAGTTCTCCTCAAACTTCGTCCTCATTTGTTTGTAGGATTCTAAACACTTCTGGTATTCGCTCTGTTTCCTCTGAACCTCCTCGGAGAGCTGTGGACAAAAATAAAAATGTATTAATCAGCAAGCGCCATTTCTTACAATGTCATAGCTTTTTAGTAATTATAATATTGACAGTGTTACGGGGCCATTTGAGCATGTACATTTATTAATAGAGCACAAATGTGTGGAGAACTGATGCCTGTACTAGGTATCTGAAGAACTGTGTCACAGGTAACATTCTTAAATAATAAATCATACTCTTAATTCGAAAGAGTATCAGTCTGTTAGCAAAGATGGCCCATCGTCATGAATCGAATTTATCTTCACGTCTTTCGATAACATCCGTTCAGTTATTATGTCGTGGAAAATTGCTATTCCGAAGGCTCTAAGAACTCGATTACAAAGTATAGTACAGTCTCCCTCTGTATTTCGTTATAAAAATTATAACAAATTCATTAGAAGTGCCACGTATACTAAATCGTATCCTTAACTAGGCTGCTTGACGTCATCCGCGTAGAAGTTAAGAAATGCTTTTCATTTGTGACTATGACATCAACTGAACCGCGCGTAAACCTAGAATTTTAAAAGTTTAAAAAATAAATAATTCTCAAGATATTTAACCACTTAGCAATATAACTTACACATCGTAAAGTAATGTAGCCGAAGCATCTAAATGGGCACTAAAGCAATCACTATTATACATATGTAGGTACCCATAACTACATGCGTCGACAGAGCGCTCGAGTGCCACCGGAAATATTTGAAATTATTCGTAATGGTTAGCAGTTAATATAAGGTCATAAGGTGTCAAATATATGTGTACTCATTTAACATAATAATCAATCTTCGACGTATAAGAATGACTTCTATAGACATTAATAAAAACGACTTGTCCTACTGACCGTCTATGTATTCCAAAGCCGAGTGACTTTGAAAATTATTTTTCATTTTGAATATTATTTAAATATTTGAATGGGCAAATCCGAAGCTGAAGTCAGATGCTCTAACATTGTAAGTTATATACATATATATCATATAGTGATATATCGAATATCCTGATATCAGAGATTTCCTATGAGAAAAATAAAATCCTCGCACTCTTTCTGTCTGTTTACCTATAATTAATATTGAAATAAATGTTTTTTTATAAGCCATGCGTACTCTGGAATTATTTAAAAACTAAACTAAAATAACCATCTACCTACTTATACGTATACATATACAATGCAATCATCATTACGTGAATCATCATTCTTAATGTCATTACAGATTGTTATTAGCTACTGACCCCTAATATTAAGTCCGTGAGTTCCCACCAAATAAAAAAACAATTTGCCTATTTTATTGTTCGGTGACGAGTTAGGAAAGTGAACAAAACTGTAATTGTTTTCCAAGGAACAAAGATAAAAATATTATGTTTAACTTATAACGTTACTATACTACAATACCTTTTTCTGAGTCATTGTGACTCTATTTAAGGAATACTGAATGCAATCCCCGTTAGCGCAACAACCCTCTGTGTAAGAAACGTTGTTTGTAGGTGTAGGATGGATTTTATCTAATAGATCTAATAGAATCTAACTACATTTACTTAAAATAACGGCATATGTGTATCTACGTAAAATCAACATACTCGTACCGTTTCAATATTTATTTATTTAAAAAAGTGAAATCGGGTCTTTTATTTTAAACTAAAGTTTTTATTAATAATTGCTTCTCATTGCGAAGAAGAGAAAGTTTCGATGCAATGAATTTGCAATAGTATTGTGTAGGTTGTCTAAAAACCTGTCAGGTAAGTCGGAGGCTGCGGTTAACTCTGGCAATTACCTACACGTTGAACAAACTGCAATCAGTGTTACCAGAAAATCGTCTTGCTTTCCCTTCAAGTTTTACGTGAAATTCTCCTTGAAATTCTGGTTAATTTTATTACCCCGTTAATTATCCCAAATCTCCACTTCTCCCGAATTAGTTCCCCTGAACATTTATTACCCGAAATTTTCGCTCTCGACAAAAAACCCCAAAAATGGGGAAAACCCTTCATCTGGCATTACCGCCTGCAATATGCGTCCGTGTCGGGAACAAAAGCGGAAAGTAACATTGTCTGTAACATAAGTAGGAACGAAAGTTGACAAAGCATTACGAATAGTAACGGTAATTCTGAGAACTGGCGTTAAATGTAAAAAATAAAACTCATTTGTTTTTGTGTTGTTTGCCCTGTGTTCAAATAGGTACCGTTTTGTTGGGCATAGTTTATATTACAAGAGAGACAGTCGCGACATGAGGTATCTCTTTAAAATTATACTTATCACCACGATATGATCGTATTAGTCGACATCCATTATCATAATAAGACCAAATCACGAATCATAAAAAGACAGTTATAGAAATGACAAAATACTAAAAGTACATAAAATATAAGTAGCATATTATTTTAGGTTTTATTTGTAAAGACATTATAATGCAGATGATATACTAAAACTCAAATAATATTTAGGTAGGTAATAAATTACAGTTGTCACACTGCCTATAGAACTTTGATAATATTAAAAACAAAATCTGAAGCTATCTATTATTTGTAAAGACATTAATAGATAGAATAGATAGACGTAGTGTATACAGTATTAAGGTAAAGAAATAAAATAATAATTACCTATAAAACTAGTTATTGTTCGTAGGTTCTTTTCGTGACCGATAGAGCCATACACACAAACATCGACGTCATGCTTCATATACAGAATTGGCAATCACCAAATGAAAATATATTAACCACAATAAAATCGTTTTAGCTAATCGAAGGTGATCGAATATTCTAATCACAAATTACACGCTAGAGTAATAATATCACGATGTCGATATTATATCATACATACTCGTTATTGTATCTCTATTTACTTTTTTAACTACAAAATGCAACTGGAACGACAAACAAGATAATGGTACACCTGATGATAAGCGGTCAGCAGGCTATGGTTATCCTATTGGAGACTACAGCACTAAGAGTACAAAAATTTTATCATGTAATACCCGTGACACAATTCATGCATTACTATTCTAAGATATAGTTAAGATAGTGGATCTAATCACCGACTCTAACATAAATAGTTTTACATTAACAATATGGCTTACTATGGAGAAGGGGATTGTTGGGAATCCCATCGCTAGCAATGTACATCGCCAGGTTGACCTCCATGTCATTCCCTTTCGAAACCATCGTGATTTGCTACAAATTTCCCAAGATAGGCTAACTAACCTTACTAACATCCATAAAAAAATGGATTACTTTTGACAACAAATGTTTATTTGCCTCAGATTATTAGCATGAGGTATTTGTTACAAATACACGTTCTAAAATAGATGCTGATCTTCCTTGACTAGTAAGCAAGCATTTAATTGGCACATAAAGCATTGGATGACTTCACGCTTCATAACAAAAACATATAATATCAACTGAAGACACTGTATAAATTGACGAGGTCTTCAAAAACAAATATGGACTTAAACATATATCCATAATTACAATTGGGTTACTAGTATTGTGATCTGCAAAAGGTCCACTGCTTAACTGTTATTCGTCGCCGTTACCACTTTTGAGCAATTCAAGTTATATAAGCAGCTTAATTAATATTAATAATACGATAACTTATCTATAGGAGTTGACTCCTTTTGTTAGCTTAGGAATATTTGAGATTTTCCTCAAGATTGAACAGATGGTTGATTATTCTGATATTTTCGATAATATTCTGTTAATATTGCAGTACAATAATTTTCGATATTTTTAACTTTTTAATAGTAATAAATCAATGTAAAAGTATTTACAGAATTAGGCCTTAGTGCTCCCAGGTGACATTCCACAACATTCAGTGTGATCGTTCAGACCAATTACTAAATTCGACAGCGATTTCGTCCACTTTCAATAATGTTATGTCACTTAAATCAAACAATATATAGAAAAATATAAAATTAAAAAATTGTTATTAATTCTATTAAAACATTTTAATATCTAGTTGTGTCTTAACATTGAAATCTTGAAATACTTATGTCAACAACCTCGACGTAGGACTTTGACACTTTGAACATAGAATTAATTACTTGTTATCTGGATAAAACGACTTAGATGAAATCGATATTACTATTAATAGTCTATTACTTCAAATATTTACATAATAAATTGGCAAAAAATATATATTTTTAAGGACATGGGGTAGAAATTCTATAAACAATGAATATGAAATTTAGGAAGACATAGATTTTATGATACCACATTTCAATTTTAGTATTAAAACACGAAATTTAAACTATTAAAATTTACTGACATTGTGTGACATATAATTTATGAAAAGCCCTTAAGTGGAATAATTACCATGTGTAACAACTTGTCATCTGTGTTATCATTATTACATATATTACATTATCTATCTGTCCACATTGCAATTGAAGCAAATTAAATATAATCAGTGTGCAACTGGGTTCTAATTTGTTTCAACAAAATATATTGAGAAACTTATATTTGACATGGTTTTATGTAAAGAGAATTCGTCACCTTCTGATAAATAACTGTCAGCTATAAGTAGTCAGCAAAACCCATTGATCCATACACTGTGAGAACAAGGAACTATTGAAATTTACTTCATGGTAGCAGTTGTAATAAAATATAACAAACATCCTCATGTCTGTAATATCATTATGTAAATAGAAGCTATATTATTTATTATGTTTATTATTAAGTTTTGGAAATTCCGAAGCACATCATTTACCCATATTCATTTGCAATTAAATGCATAGCAAAGCTATGGTAAAACATAATATCGTCATTATGCATCGCTAGACATTGTTTATTGTCTCTGAAGTTAAATTAAATACCGTGTGAATCGTATAATGGTAAAGAGATTAACGACTGCATTTCTCTTAGATATTCTTGATGAAAAGTGACTGCAATAGAATTAGAAGCATTGGGATTCGTTTTGTCTACTTGTTTGTAGGGACCTGAAGAGAAGATCCTCTTAGTAGAATATAGGGGATACCGGCTTATAAACTATGATTTGTGTTTAAGG